GCAGTCAGCCTCACACTGACATTGAGAATTTGTAAGCAACAAAACAATCTTGTAAGGTCAAAACATCTTTGACAAACGAGGAAAAAACCAGATTCGTCCCGAAGACAACACGTGACTTAACCGCCTGTGTGAAACGTTATCTACTGTTTTCTTGGTTATTCTTCTATTGTTCTCGTTTCTTAATAATTTTTCTCTTTTTTGTTATTCTTTCATATTTGATTACCCATTGTGTTTTAGTGGCTTTACTGCCTTGCATAGGGTGAGATGATTAAAAAACAAAAAGGTGAAAAAGACAGAAAGACATTAAACTAGGAAACGTATGTGTCTGTGCGCGAGTGATACGTACGGGGGCCTGAGCATGTGTATGTGAAAATTCAGTCATAAGTCTTGCCTAAAACATTTCACTACTCCTTCGCCTACAGTACATGTAGTGTCCCTACGGCCTCCATGGTTTACGGGTCTCGTGATCGATATCTACTCAGACTAAAGACTGGCGCAACATAATTATCTTATATGAAAATCTTTAGAATTATTTTTTGAGCTTAGCAAAATGCAACTTAACGAAGTTTAATAATCAATTAATATTGTAACCTAGGGAAGGTTACTGAATAGAATAATCAAACGAAGGTTTATAATGGACGATAATACTTAGGACAAGAACAACACATAGAAGATTCGCCAGATGTAGTAGTCAACTGCTAGAAGCTGAGTCAAGTGAATTCCACAATGAATCACCAACTGCAGGATATCTACCAACCGTCTCACGCGGTCAGATGTGGCATAAGGCCTAATTTAATGTGGGGTATCCGAGATCTTAGGCTCGGCGAAAATTTCCCCGTAGACCCTCGTATAAAACGGGGTTGGGTAACTGTTTCGCGAGACGAGACTCTTCCCTTCGACATAGCCTTGTCTGGTGATCCTCTTGGCCCGGAGGCAGAGAGTTTGACCATCACGGCTAGAGACGAATCTCCAACTGCAGGATATCTACCAAACGCCCCACGCAGTCAGATGTGGCACAAAGCCGAATTTAATGTGGGGTATCTGAGTCCGTATGCTCGGCCAAAAATCCTCCGTAGATCCCCGTATAAAACAGGGTCGGGTAGCTGTTTCCCCGAGACGACACTCTTCCCTTCGACATAGCCTCGTCTGGGGGATCCTCTCTGCCCGGAGGCAGAGAGTTTAATCAGCACAGTTGAAGACTAATCTCTAACTACAGACCGACATACAGTATTTACTACTGTATTTATGTGAATGGAGACATGCTACAACAATTAGTAAGCTCGACTTACCAACCACTTTACAGAATTTGATCCGCACTGGACGCCTTATTATCATAGTTAAACTTGGTGAATATTGTTTGAATCTTGCTGTGAATCAAAGGTTTACAAGACAATTACAATTCTGTTGATGTTTTGGTTCGCCATATTTATAGCTTTGTATACATCATCAGTTACGCACAAATAACCTTGGGAAACGTATGAATCCTACTTCTCCCCCCAGTTATGGGATAATTAGTACAACTGATACATAGAAAAATCATTGTTATCAACAAAAAAATTGTTAATGAAATATTCACTCGTAAAGTTGTAAAAAAAACAAAAACAAATAAATTGTTTGTACCAATTGACTCCAGTTTCATTGTAGTCTTGTTACCATTTCTTTAAATTGCATCTGGCAGCATAGCCTTTTATCAGGAGATTGGAGGTTTTGAGGAGCGTGAACCCAACCCTGATCCTGGGTGGCAGCACCTGTTAGGGTCCCGGCTATGGGAAAATAGTGAACATCTTTACAAAAACAAACGGCTATAAAAGCATGAAAATATATTTTTATTGTAAGATACCAGCGATGCATTTTTATATAAAGAATTGCCAACCATATATATTTATAGTAGAATTCTCAATACTACATTTTATAGAAAAATAACCAACAATACATCTTATGTGTAGTTGAAGCCATAAAATTCTGTTGAAAATCATTAGATTTCGGCATTAGATAACCCATAGAGGTGTTGATATGTCCCGAAACAAAAACATCCAACCAATTTTCTTCTTCTTCTTCTTCTTTCTCCTCCTTTTCCTTCTTTTTCTTCTCCCTCCTCCTCCTTCTCCCTCCTCTTCCTTCTTCTTCATTTTTATTTGACATATTTTGCCTTTCCTAGACCACAACCAACACCGCAACCACCACCATCATTTCTTCTTCTTCTTCTTTCTTTCTTTCTTTCTTTCTTCTCCTTCTCCTTCATCTTCTCCACCTCCTCCTCCTCCTCCTTCTTCTATTACGCCATTTTTACTTGACATATTTTGCCTTTCCTAGACCACAACCAACACCACAACCACCACCATCACTTCTTCTTCTTCTTCTTTCTTTCTTTCTTTCTTTCTGTCTTTCTTTCTTTCTTTCTTTCTTTCTTTCTTTCTTTCTTTCTTTCTTCTCCTTCTCCTTCTCCATCTTCTCCACCTCCTCCTCCTCCTCCTTCTTCTATTACGCCATTTTTACTTGACATATTTTGCCTTTCCGAGACCACAACCAACACCACAACCACCACCATCACTTCTTCTTCTTTCTCCTCCTCCTCCTCCTCCTTCTTCTTCTTCTTCTCAATTTACCATTTCCTCTTACCTATTTCGCCTCTCCTATACCAACACCACTACCCTCACGACCATCACCACCATGTCCTTCTCCTCCTATTTTCATTATCTTCGTATTTCCTCTTCCCCCTTCTTTCCTATTTCAGTTTACTTATTTCGACTTTCCGAAGCTGATACCAACTACCACCAACACTTCCTCCTCCTCCTCCTTCCAGTTATCACTGGTTTCTTCTTTATCAACCAGGTCCACCTGTTCCCCATCTTCATTATCATTACATTGTTACTACCATCATTATTACCATCATTATTGTTATTATTACCATCACTATTATTATCCATTTCAATCCTGTCGCGTCTTCCATCACCCATTACTGTTAATGTAACTCAACAATTAACTCTTCTGAATGGATTGGTTGCATTGCCTCTGAGACGATTGCCAATCATGCATAACGGTAATGAAAACAACTCAAAAACAGGTAAATTGGTTTTTCAAACGCAGGTGTTTCGCACTTCAACGCAAGCTCCTTCATTCGACAGCAAAAAGACGGAGCCATTCCCCGGGGTTATGGACCGCTCTTGGCTTGGCGCGGCGTTATATTGGCGGCCATTTTAAAAACGATATAAAATGGCAGGTCTTGAAAAGGCATTGTCTTGTAAGCATTGTTCATTTTGAATAATGAATCTTAGAAATTCAGGCGAATATCGAGAATCTGCTTAATAATAGTTGCGATGATAGTTAATAATAATAAATCCCTAAACTTAATCAGCAGGTATTATTGTTGTTATTTGCGATTAAAGTAATTCACACTATTATTACTGTGACCATTATGACAAAGAAAATAAAGAAAAAGAAGAAGAAAAGAATAATAAATTCGTTAATAAAAAAAAGAGGGGGATGAAAATACATAATAAGAGCAACGATAATACTAATATTAAAACTATATCAATAATGATATATCGACGACAAAAATACAAAGTTTCATGTTGTTTACCGGTTAAAAAAAACGGAAATTGAAATAGGAGAGTAAGGTTCAAACCTAAGTAAAATATGAAAAAATATTAAAATAACAAACAGAAGTGTGTAGCTTTACTTGAATAACAGCGGTTACGCGATGTAGCATGGAATCTTCAAGGTGCTGGAACCAGTCAGCGCGATGGTAGATCTATCTTGTGTTCCAAACAGGGTTGCTTATTACTGACTTGAGGTTTATTTGGTGTGGTTTCAGGACGTTTCTGGTGTTTCTCCCTGTCTCCTCAAGATGTAGGCGATCATGGCTCTCCACAATTTCCTGTTCTTTGTAGCTCTTAATAATTTTTTGCCTTTTTGTTATTTCTCCTAAACCTTGTTCTGTTATCAATTTACTTAAGCTCATTGTCATGCGTTGTTTTTCTCTGTCCCGGTTGCCTTCAATCTGTCCTGTGAGTATCAGATTTTCCAAGCTCTCCTTCCTCGTTATATGCCCCAGAAATTTCTATCTGCCTGATGTTAAGTATAAGTTTCCTTTTTGTTTCCATTTTCTCGTCGTTGTTCTTCATTTGTTTAGTACATGGCATTCCCAGCATCCTCCTGTAGAACCGCATTTCTGTTGCTTCAACTCTCTTCTTCACCTTTGAGGAGATTGTCCAGCATTTGCTGCTATATAGGAGGACAGATAGGTCACCTCGGCGTGGTGTAATGGTTAGCAAGCTTGTCTCGCTAGATCAGTTACAACTGAAAAGTGAGTTCGATCCTCACTAGGTTCCCCATACTTTCGGCCTTGTACCACATCTAAGCTGCGCTTGGAAAATAACTATATAGGAGGACAAATATCACATAACAGTTCAATACACCTTTCTTTGTTTCTAACGAAGTTTTTCTCTCTCTTAATACTCTGCTTAGCTTTTGGGAGGCATCTTTCGCTGTCCCAATACGCCTTCGGATTTTAGCGTCGCACTTTCCGTCCTCTGTTAGAACACTTCCCAGATATTTAAATTTTTGTGCTTGTTTGATTTTTGGCATCTCCGATTTGTAATTTGCATATTGGACTGTTCCTTTTGCTAACGACCATGCATTCCATAGTCTTGCAATTGATGTTTAGTCCTTTCTTCTTGCTTTCCTTCACTACTTTCTGTAGGAGTTCTTGTAGTTTCTTTTCTATGTTTACCATCAACACTGTGTCATCTGGATATCTTATGTTGTTAAGATTATGGTCGCCAATAATGAATCCTTTCTAGGACGTCTAATTCTTTCAGAATTGTCTCGCTGTAGAGGTTGAATAAGTGTGGTGAGAAGACACAACCTTGTCTTAAACTCCTCTGTATTTGTGTATATTTGCTGAACTCTTTTTCTATCCGTATGTTGCCAGTATATGTTCTTGATTATTCTAATATCTTTCTCAAATATGTTAAGATTGCTGGTCAGTTCCAACAGTTTTTTGGGGGTGTACTTTCTCGAACGCCTTAGCCTATTCTAGAAATCCCAGTGAAAAATTCACGGTTTCCTTATTTTAATTTTCTGATGAATTTTAATTTTGGAGTTAATGATTAAATAAGATCATAGCGAGTTTTATGACAACAAAATATCCGTAAAAATTCCCATAACACATCGTTAAATATTTGAGTTTAACAACTTTAGCAAAATATTACATTAACATTATTTAATAGAAGTAAGGGGATACAAATGAAAGTATTGTAAATTGAGAAAGATTTCTATTTCAATGAAACAGAAGCTAAACACATGAGTGTGTTATCACCTCCCTACCTTCCTTCACTTCCTTCCTTCCTTCCTTCCTTCCTTCCTTCCTTCCTTCCTTCCTTGCTTTCCTTTCTTTCTTCCTTCCTTCATTTCCTTCCATCCTAGGCATGACCTATCTGGGCTGGCGCAATGTGGATATTGGTATGTTGAGTTTGTTTTGAGGTATGAGGTGACCAAGGCAACTTAGGAGAAACATCTAGGATGTTTGAGAACACACTTAATCGGAGACCACCCAAGCGGAATGAGATTTTTATAGAATTTGATAAAATACTGCAAACGAACAGCAATTTCCTCTTTATTTTTCAGTTTTTTGTCCCAAAGCATCATCATCATCACCATAATCATCATCACCATCACCATAATCATCAACATAATCATCATAATCATCATCATAATGATCGACATAATCATCATGATAATCATTATCACAATCATCATCATCGTCATAATCGTCATAGTCGTTATCATCATCATAATCATCACCATAATAATAATAATAATAATAATCAGTCCCATGACCGTGTGTCGTCGTATGGTTTCTGAGCAGCTTAGATCCTTACCAGCTTCCTCCATATATCTGGTTTGGAAGCCAGTGAAGTACCCGTTCATAGGTAGCCTTTTTTTGGCAAGTGCACCCGAGTTAAAACAGTCCTGGGTATGACGATAAACTACATCCGGTTGCAAGACCTGCAATCGGGAGATTGGAGGTTTTCAGAAGTATGGAACCACCTCTTAATTGCTGTTGTTTATTTTCATAGTAAAAATACCAGCAATACATTTCTATATATAAAAACTTACCAACAATACCTATTTATAGCAAAATGACCAACAATCCATTTTATCTGTAGTTGAGGCCATACAATTGCGTAGAAAATATTTAGATTTCGCCATTAAATAACTCATAGAAGTATCAATCAAGCAACGAGTTAACAGAGTTTCTAGTAAAAGACAGAATACTAAAATTTGACAATTTTTTCTCGAATGTTGACCATCATGATATTTTGTCATCAGTGACATACTTCAAATTAAACAATCAGCTGTTTATCTGTCGCCTTTTTTTTTAAGAGGAGGTATACCTATTTTATTTTTGTTTTGTTTTGTTTTTTTAATTAACTTCTTGCATTAAAATGTGAATGCTGTCATACTGGCACACACAAACATTAAGGATTGTTTTCCCGAACAATGGCCATTATTTCTCATCACTCGTCACATATTGACGAAGCGATAGATTACTCTTCCGAGTTATTCGTAAGTGATTAATAAATTGAGACAATTATTTTTAAAAAGAAAATTCCAAACCACGGGAAGATTATTAAGTTCATCTTGAATTTTTTTTTTTAATTTCCCACTTTTTGAGTCTTTAAATGATTTGATCCCGCTCGATTATTATGAATCTACTATTTTATTAGGTACCTACGAGAAGAGTTTTTCAAAAGAGAAAATAGTTTATAAGTTAGAATTGGTGTAGTTTAGAATTGGTCAAAAAGAAAAAAATAGCTTATAGTTTAGAATTGGTCATAAAGAAAAATAGTTTCTAGTTTAGAATTGGTCAAAAAAAAAAAAAATAGCTTATAGTTTACAAATGGCCAAAAAGAGAAATAGTTTATAATTTAGAATTAGTCAAAAAGAGAAATAGTTTATAGTTTAGAATTGGTCATAAAGAGAAATAGCTTATAGCTTTGAATTTCTCAAAAAGAGAAATAGCTTATAGTTTAGAATTGGCCAAAAGATGAAAAGTTTATACTTTAGAATTGGTGCAGTTTAGAAATGGTCAAGAGAGAAACATCTTAGAATTAAAAAATTGCTTTAGTTTAGAATCGCTTTAATAATAATTTAAAACTACTGTAGTTTCGAATTGTTCAAAACATAAAATATTTTATAATTTAGAATTGTGTAGTTTAGAATTGGTCAAAAGAGAAAATATATTATTTTTCGAATCGAAAATAGTTTATAATTTAGAATTAGTGAAGTTTAGAATTTGTTAACAATTGGAAAATATTTTATAATTAAGAATTTTTTTAGTTTAGAATTTCTTAAGTGTGAAAGATTTTATAAATAAACCAATTATTATTTTAAAAAATATAATTCAGAATTTCTTTTGCATTTGAATATTTTATCATCTACACGTGGACGCTTACTGGACGGTGGTGTATGTTTATTTCTTTATTGGTGAAAATT